AAGCCCCGATGTCTCTGGGAATCCAGCGTCTTTTGGAGCGCCAGCCGGTGAGCATCCTACCTCTCAGCTGACATAATGCACCTTCTGCAAGACAGCCGTCTCTTGGCTTTGCTCCCTTAGGAAGGAAAACCTGAAATGAACTCCTGCTAAAGTGGCATATTGAACCAGCCCCGTTTTATTTCCAAGGCCTGCTCGGTTGATGCGTGGCACATCCATCTTCACGGATGTGCCCACTGCAGGCTAGAATTACAGCTTCCTTCTGATAGCAGAATGTACTCCGAGAAGAACTTGACCAAGGTTGTTAACTAAATCCTTCAGCAGACAGCATTCGGGGTGGCTGGGCCTTGTTACAGAGGGTTAATGGAACACCTGCTGGGCGCACAGGATTTCTCTAGGCAACATCTGAGGGTTAGGGAGATAAGAGGACACAGTCCTTGCCCGGAGTCCTCATCCCTCAGGAGTTGGGTCTACAAGGAAGGCTGTTACATCATATCGCCCCAGGCACTCAGTATCTCTTCTCAACAGTCAAGCTTAAGAGTCACCTTGCATCATGTTCAAGCAAGAAAATAACAAATAACAAGAATCAAATCAAAGATCAAGAATAAACACGGTAGTAACGGAAAAAAGAAACATCTCAAATCCATGCAGCATAGTAAAGTAGCCAGTGCAATAAGATTACATTCCTGCCGAAACCGGTTTGGCTCAGTAGATAAAGCGTTGGTCTGTGGACTGAAAGGTCCCAGGTTCGATTCTGGTCAAGGGCATGTACATTGGTTGCGGCAACATCCCCGGTGGGGAGTGTTCAGGAGGCGGCTAGTCGATGTATCTCTCTCATCGATGTTTCTAGCTCTCTATCCCTTTCCCTTCCTCTCTGTGAAAAATCAATAAAATATATTTTAAAAAAAAGATTACATTCCTAAAATACACTGAGTGGCCAGATTATTATGATCTCTGAACATGAATTCATGCCCAGTGCATGAATTCGTGCATGGGTGGGATCCAGACAGCCTGGCCAGGGCGAGGGGATATGGGCAGTTGGCCGGCCTGCCTGCTGTTCAAACTCCTGGTTGAGGGGACAATTTGCATATTAGCCTTTTATTATATAGGATATACACTGAGTGGCCAGATTATTATGTGTTCAGAGATCAGTGTGTAAGCTCTATCTTAAAACCTAGGTCATGTTCTGTTCTTTCTTAATTTCTTGTTAATATATTTTTAAATATTATTATTATTTCTTGATTCTTTTTGCTGACACTATTACAGATGTCCCCATCCCCCCTTTGCCTGCCTCTACCCTGCCCCCTCCCTTCCTTCTGGCCATCACCACACTGTTGTCTGTGCCTAATTTCTTTATCAGTGTTATTTAATGCTCCTTACTCCTCTCCTTTCTCATACTTTCTTCCAACGAAAAATAAGGCAGGGTGGAAAGACTACAGGTATACCTTTCAGAAAACAATTTCCCCTTGAACACGATTCCACCGTATCCTCGATGTCCCTATCAATTTGCTCCTTACAAGGATCTAAAATAGAGATTGCTTTAAATTCCTCTCTATTTAGGTATGTCAAGTTCCTGCTTCATTTCCTTAAAGAACTACGCCAGGCTGTGTATTCAAGACCAGAGATACCGTGATGGCAAGATGGGGTTCTAGTTGACATCTCTGTGGCAAACTTGCTCTCAAGGAGTTCACTACTCTCCTTTCTGTCCCCACTGCACCCGGTAACACAACTCTTAGCACGCTGTCCCCTTATCAACCTGTATGGAAACTATCTGTTTATGTTTCAGTCTCTTCTCGACTCTCTAGATCACAGAGTACTTGAGGACTCAGAGCTTAGCACGTACTGGGTACTCAATCAACGAGGGCTGAGTTCAACTGGATCACAAAAGATAACCTTCACCATAAGTCATATAGAGACAAACACATGTAGACACGAACACTGCACACACCTTCTCTGGTGCCATGCTAAATAGAGAGCCCAATTCATGACCCCCCCCAAAAAAAAGGCATTTTACACAATTGCTGAGATTTAAATAAAATCTGCATTTACAGACAATAACGTTTGGTGACAGAAGTTCACATTCTAGAACTTGTAGTAAAGCTGTATGGCCTTTATATACTCAGAAATTTCCTTTTTCATGATTGCCAGATAAAATTAGAGTTTGGGGAGCCAGTGTGTGCATCAGCTAGTACAATGACAACCACTCCGCCCTAGCCAGTATGGCTCAGTGAATAGAGCATCGGCCGGAGGACTGAAAGGTCCCGGGTTTGATTCTGGCCAAAGACAAGTGCCTCGGTTGCAGGCTCCATCCCTGGCCCTGGTCAGGGCCCGTGCAGGAGGCAACCAATCGATGTGCCTCTCTCACATCGATGTTTCTCTCTGCGTGTGTCTCCCCCTCCCTTCCACTCTCTCTAAAAATCAATGGAAAATATCTTCGGGTGAAGATTAAGTGAAAAAACGTGCTCCTGGCTGCTGGGAAAACCCCAGAATGTATATAATTAGAAATGCGAAGATATCAGCAAAACTAAATATCAACAGAATCTACTAACACCTTCCAAAGAGATGCGAATTCAGCATTTTCACTTGCCATTCATTCTCTTCACGAACAAACTTTATTGTTAAGTAGTGCACACGTGCCTGCATCGTTAAAGTAAGATTCTTAGCAGAGGAAAGTTGGGCTCTGAAGTGGAAATCAAAATTTAGATATACCCCTACAGTGATCAAAGTTTGCTGATCAGAGAAAAGGCGCTTCAAAGAATTGAGCGCAGTGGTTTACAATTTAGTTGCGGTCCTTATTTAAACAGAGCCCGTTTTCAGCAGATCATGATAATGATGGGCATAGAACATTTTTATCAAAAGTAAAACAAAGCAGCCCTAGCAGGTTTGGCTCAGTGGATGGAGCCTCAGCCTGCAGACCAAAGGGTCCCTGGTTCGAATCCGGTCAAGGGCGCATACCTCAGTTGCAGGCTCCTCCCCAGCCAGGGCCCTGGTCAGGGCTCATGCAAGAGGCAACCAATCGATGTGTTTCTCTCACATCAATATTTCTCTCTGTCTTCCTCTCTCTCTCCCATTCTCTCTAAAAATCAATGGAAAAACATACTCAGGTGAGGATTTTAAAAAATAGAACAAAGCAGTCACTTTAACAGTGGAACTGTTGTATGTCCTTCATACTTCACACACACACACACACACACACACACACACACACACACACACATACACACACACACACACACACACACACACACACTTTAAGCCAGAACTGCCAAAAAGATGGGAAGGGCATGTTTCTCACCTAAGAGTGTGTTGCAGGGAAAAAATCTTCCACTTTGTAGAGCTCTGGGTTCAAATCCCAGATCTACCCTCTCTGAACCTCAGTTTCCTCATTTCTAAAGCAGCGGGGAGATGGAAGTATAACATTGCCAGCTTTGCGTGGTTCTTGGGAGTTACCTCCAGGCTGAGCTATCACAAGTGAAAGTGAAAAGTACTTGAACTTGCTTCCTTCCCTTGGTTTCCTCTGCCCACCCTCTCAGGCAGAAGCAAGCAAGGGAAAGGATAGCTAAGAGGCAAACAGAGAAGGAAAAGAAGTTGGCACAAGAAACAGAACCGATGCACACACTGGAACTGGCTGCTGCTTTTCTCTCCCCTACCCTTTACCTACCTGTCAGCAAGTCTGATGTCAATTGGAACACTGGGTCTAACTTTTAAAAATATTTTGGGATGATACGTTTTTAGTGGTCGGTTTTTTCTATGCCAAAACATGAGATATTTAGTAGCTCAAAGGAATCCCTTATTGGGATGGTTTGTAGCTTTGGAGAATATAGATAAAACGTTTATGTATGACATTCAGTAAGTGGGCTTAAAGTGCCGAGGAGCAGTTAATATCAATTTGTCTTAACAAAATATTAAAACAACAACAACAACACAGAAGCACAGTGAGCAAAAGCCCACCGTGCTCTAATATAACTTGCTTTGTTTTCATGTATTAGGAAGTTGTCCTAAGCCTGCCTTTGAACCCTTATGAAGAAATAACAGTTTCATTATAGGCTGGCTTTGGAATGTGTAAGCCCTCATTGGGGCAGTTCACAGAAAATACATCACAAAATCCTTTTTAAATTTTTTTTAAAAACCCTCTTCCCAGGGTCAAACCCCACAGCCAAGCAAAATATTGCACCCATGAACTTGAGGGAAATGCTAGCAAGAAAATATAGCTCTAAACAGTGTATGGCTTGGATCTAAGGGTGCAGAGAGAGGTCTCCCCAAGTTCCACAAATCTTCAGGCCACCAAAAACCCCGCTCCCCATCTGTTGTTTTGGATTCAGTGAATGGGAAGGAAGGAGGCTCCGAGCGCCCCATTTGCACTTAGGAAAGCACGCAGCCCCTTGCTAAGTAAATGTAGGTTCCCAGGTTCCCATACCTGACAGCAGACCCGGAAATGCTTGCCATTCATTTCAGATGCACATTATTTCTAAATACATCACGAGGGACTCTTCTGCTTAGTTATTTTGACACGTTCAAGCGAATGGGGAAGTTTGCTTCCATGTCGTTCTCATTTTCCCCAAACTGGCATTAGGCACCAACATTAGTTGAAGACCGAATCATTCCTTCCCTAGCATCGAGAACTTAACGGACTCGTCCCAAGCTTTGCGGAAAGAATACCATTTTGTCAATTGCACGGTGGCTTTTTTTTTTTTTTTTAATCTTAAGACGAGCGCACACTTAAAAGGAAAAAAAAAGGCCATTCCCTCTTCCCAAGCACAAAAACACAGCAGAGCCCAAGCAGCCCGTTCCCCTACCCCGCCGGTACAATAATGCTTTGTAAGCGGAGAGCAGCGCCGGGCAGAGAAGCTAAATATAAACAGCTGAGAAGGATTAGGCGGCAGCTCCGTTTCATTTACATGAAAATCCTCAGCATCTTTTTTTTCCTCGCTGGCAGCGGGCGCAGAAGGAATTCTTTTGTGCCCTAGCCACGCATACATTTGCATCCTTTTGTCTTTACTTACCAGTCGAGGCTGTGGGCATGTGTGCTCTATTTCCTCCATGGTTTCTGAGGGAGGCTCATTGGAAAGGGATTTTGGGATACCTGTTTCTGACTCAGCATCAGTGGTAAGTACTGGCATGGCCAGCGAATGCTCCCTCCAAGCTCTTACACCCCGTCAGTCTCCTCCCAGGCAGAGAATGTTGTCTTTCTCAGGTATTTTGCTCTTCCTTACCCATCCCCCTTCTTCATCACTTCTTTCTGTCTATCCCCGGGGGAAGTGAGGAGGTGACCCCCCACCCCCTCCCCTTTCGTTCTGGGAGAAGCCGAGAGGCAAGGCCTCAGTTTATCACTAGAACGAGCAGATGGCACCGGGGCTGCGGTGCGGGATACAGTACCTCATTTGCATGGAGCGCGCTGATTGGCTACTGTCATCATAGTACCACTCAGCTAGGGAGCGGCCGCGCCCATTGGCAGCCGGACGCGCTCGGGGCTGAACTTGCCGCTTTTGTTTCTTTTCTTTAATTCAGTTGCAAAGGTCTCCGTCCACTCGGGGGCGAGGGAGCGGGCTGCAGTGCCCAGATAAGATAAGAAACGCTTCCGGAGGCGGGGACAGGACGCCCCGAGAAAGAACTCTGTAGACCTCTGCTAAAAAAAGGAGCGAGCACGTCCCTGGCGCGTTTGATGTGGTCCAGCCAGAAATTTGCCAAACAGGAGTCACTTGGAAGACAAAGCCACTTTGGAGCCCAAACCCCCTGTGCCCACAGTTGGCCGCTAACCCCAGAGGGCTTCTCAGGGCATTTCTTGTGAGCACCTTGAGTGTTCACCCCTTGACTGCAACAAGACCAGGACAGATCCCCTGAGGCCTGGCTTCGCCCCTAGGAGCCTAGTGGGGGGGGGGGCGACTTTGAAGGAGGTAAATTGTTTCCTTTGATAACTTGCCTCTTACCCTTGACTGTTCTCTCCAATTGCTTCCTCCCTCAGCCATACTTCCCCTGGTCCCCTAGTCTGTTTCCTCTGGAAAGTTGCTGTTGTTTGCCCTTCCATACATTGTTCCACATGCTGGTTTCCTCTGTCCACCACCTCCTAAGCACTCAGCTCTCAGCAAATGCTCACGCCAATTACACACACATCCTTCATGGGGTGTTAAAGAGGAAGTGACAATGTCTGAATCAGTCAGGAATACTGCCGTATTTTAAGAGAGAGGTACACTCTAAAGAACTTACGAAGGTATTCATTCTAGTGAAATATCGAACTTTTAATAATATCAATAAAAGTCATGGTGATTGCTAGCATTTATTAAGCACAGGCACAGTGCTAAGTACTTGACCTAGATCTTGTTTAATCTTCCTGAGAACCTCAAAGAGGTTGATCCTATCGATATTTGTCCCCATTTTCCAGGTGAAGAAATGGCAGTTTAGAGAAATTGCTCAGGGTCCCAAACTCATAAGCAATAGAACTGGAATTGAAAGGATGGGGTGTGGGCCGAAACTGGTTTGACTCAGTGGAGAGAGTGTTGGTCTGCGGACTGAAAGGTCCCAGGTTCGATTCCGGTCAGGGGCATGTACCTTGGTTGCGGGCCAACTTGATATCTCAGTTATTACCAACCAGTAGGGGGTATGCAAGAGGCAGCTGATCGATGATTTTCTCTCATCGGTTTTTCTAACTCTCTATCCCTCTCTCTTTCTCTCTGTAAAAAATCAATAAAATATGTTTTAGAAAGAAAGGAAGGAAGGAAGGAAGGAAGGAAGGAAGGAAGGAAGGAAGGAAGAAAGGAAGGAAGGAAGGAAGGAAGTGGTGTGGTCCAGGGATGCAGCAGGTGTACAAAGAACACCTAGATAGGAGTCCTCTTAAGATAAGTCCCTGGGCTTCTAGATCTTTCATTTTAATCTATAGCAGTGGTTTTCATCCAAGTGTGGTCCAGGACCGGCAGCACCAACATCAGCATCATTTGGAAACTTGTTAAAAATGCAAATGATTGAGCCCTTCCCCCCACCCCAAGACTTGACTCAGTAGGTCTGAGGATGGGCCAGGATTCATACTCTCACAAGTTCCTACATGACACTAATGCTGCAGGTCCTGGGACCATACTTGGAGAACCAGGAGTCCAAAGGATGGGATAAAAATACTTGCTCTGCCCATCAGCAGATGAGTGGATTAAAAACGTTGGCACATCTGCACAATGGAATACTACACTGCAGTAAAAAGGAAGAAACTTCTACCATTTGCAACAGCATGGATGGAGCTGGAGAGCATGATGCTAAGTGAAATAAGTCAGTCAGAGAAAGATAAGTATCACATGATCTAACTCATTTGTGGATTATAATGAACAACATAAACTGATGAACAAAAACAGATGGAGAGACAGAGAAGCATCGATCAGATGCTCAAACTCAGAGGGAAGGCAGGGAAGGGTAGGGTTAACTTGTTAACTGAGCGGGGCCTATAAATACGTCAAACGTAAACAATATTGGGAACGGGTAGGACGTATAAATATGTCCTTGAAATATATGTTGCCTCCTGAGAGGACGGTATATATTTTTTGTAATCTTTAGAATTGTTTGTAAAATGTATCATTTCTTAATGTGATGTTTCCATTTTTTTGTTGGTATTCTTTTCTATTTGTTTGTAATTTTGTATTTTCCATTGTGCTTTATAGATAAATAAACGAAAGAAATATATTTCATTTATTTTAATTAAGTATAAATAAATAAAAAATAATAATATGAAATTACAGCCACCGGGCGTGACGTACTGACACGTCCTATTGAAAGAGTATGCGCCTGTTATACGTTGTGTAATTAAAAAGGGAACTCCCTGGTTAACGGGTTTTAAGGGGGAGAGATCAACCAAAGGACTTGTATGCATGCATATAAGCATAACCAATGGATACCGACACCGGGAGATAGGGTAAGGTGACCAGATTTTAACATTGGTAAAGCAGGACAACATTGACGGGGGAGAGAGGGGTTCTTAATTAATATAAATAATACAAGTACTATTGGCTAAATTCAAGAAAATTTATGTATTTATGAAATAAATAAATTACTTACCTAAATTACCTGAATAGCTGATTTGTATTGACATCATTTGTTTAACTAGCTTACTAGCACGCAGTACGATATGTATTGTCTGAGAGACAGTTACAAAATGTTTTCATGGTTGCCAATCCCAAAAAAATGCCATTGTTCATTAAGTCCAAACAATGGTGGTTGAATTCTAACAACTGATCAATAATGCGAACTTTGATAAGCAGTTCTCGATAATCAGTTCTCAACAATTATTTGTTATTATTAAAGTTTAACATTATAAAATTAACAAAAATAATATAAAACTCATATCCTGGCTAAATAGCCACATGGCCGCAGAAAACCGTATATTCCCTTCCTGTTCTCCCACTGTTCCCTTGCTTGCCGTGCATTCTTTCCAAAAATTGAGACTTTTTTAAAACGCCGTGCAACGTGGGACAAATTGTTAAAAATCGAGACTGTCCCGCCAAAAGCAGGACGTCTGGTCACCTTAGGATAGGGGGACAATGGGAGGATAAGGAAACATTTGTAATACCTTAATCAATAAAGGGAAAAAATACCTGCTCTGCCTCCCTCACAGAATTTGGGAGATCAAATAAGATATCATGTGAAAGCATCCTGTAAATTAGAATGCGCTATACTAATGTAAGGAATCAAATAAGCAGAGAGTTACCTTAAAAGGAGGAAATGTCTGCAGCAGAGATTGACAGTTATAGAACCTACCACTTTAAATCAGAATGACATCACTTAATATCTCAGTTATTACCGACTAGAGGCCCAGTGCATGAATTCGTGCATGGGTGGGGTCTGGCTGGCCCAGCCCCAATTGGGGCAAATTGGGACAGTTCAGGGCTGGGCCTTCAGGAGGAGGAGATGGCAGGAGGTTGGCCAGCCAACCTGCCCCAATCAGGGCCAGGTTGGCTGGGGGGAAGGGCCGAGGGTGATTGGCCGGCAGGCCCTGTCCCCAATTGGGGTTGGGGGGCCGATTGGGGGCAGTCTCAGCCATAGGGAGGGGCTGTGGGTGGTTGGCCGGCTGGCCTTGCCCCCTATTGGGGTGGGGGGCAATCAGAGGTGGGGCTGGTGAGGGGGAGGGGCTTCAAGAGGTTGGCTGGCTGGCCCCGCCCCCTATTGGAGGGGGCAATCAGAAGCAGGGCCAGCCAGGCTGGTCTCACCCCCTGATTAGCTGGTTTGCTGGCCACAGTGGGAATTATAGCAACCAGACATTATGGCGTTACAGTCTCTGGCTTTTTATATATAGAGATGCTTGAGAGAACTCCAATGACACAAGAATTCCAGTGACACTTGGGTCATCTGAAAAGAGGTCTTCCCGCCCACTTCCTCCCTCCTCATCCTCCCCATTTTCATCAAACCAAGACTGTCTCTGCCTAGGATGAGTATCTTCATTGTGTCACCCAAGTCAGACCCTTACCTGTCAGTGCCACTATGGTAAATACAAGTCTCACTTGACATATATTCAGCCTAAGACCTTGAACCTCAAAATTTAGACTTCTGTCTTCTGTCTTCTGTCTTGAGGATCAACTCTGTAACTACTACCAATTCCATTCCTATTCCATCCAGCCTTATCTTAGTTTCCTCTCATCCTTCACCCCACAGACCAGAGGTTGAATCTCTGGCTGGCCCCGCCTCCTATTGGGGGGCAATCAGGGGCGGGGCCAGCCAGGGGGAGGGGCTTCAGGAGGTTGGCCTGCTGGCCCCACCCCTTAGGACTGTATGGCTCACAGTCCTAATGTGTAGAAACAGACACCTTCAGGCACTTCTCTTAGAGGGTTCCTTACCACATCCACTTACTCCAGGGACAGAGATGTGACTACTAGTGCTACCCTAAACTTCTTTGTTGTGTGTGTGTGTGTGTGCCCTTGACCAGAATTGAACCTGGGACCCTTCAGTCCGTAGGCCAATGCTCTATGCACTGACTTCAACGAACTGGGACTAAACATCTTTTAACTTGAGGACTTCATAGTGCTATCAAGATAATTAGTTGAGAATGGTCAGTTAATTTCACAGAATGGAACTAAATATTCCATAACCTAGGGGTTATGTGGGGGGAAGGGATTGTTCAAATCCTGATGATGGTAACAGTTACACAAATCTA